TAAGAAACATGGATTTACATTTCTATGAAGATTTTTTTAGCTTTTGTTGGGCCGTGTCCTACCTTTTTCTTGAGTGTCCTCCATTTTGAGCATGGCTAAGAAGCATAGATTTACACTTCTGTGAGTGTTTTTAGTTTTTATTTTGCACTGTCCTATCTTTTTATTGGAGATGCTCCATTTTGAGCATCACTCAGAAGCATGAATTATCATTTCAGTGAAGGTTTTGAGCTTTTGTTTGGTCCTGTCCTTCCTTTTTCTTGCATGTCCTCCATTTTGAATATGGCTAAGAAGCATGGATTTATATTAGCTTGTATTGGGTCATGTCCTCCATTTTTCTTGGATGTCCTCCCTTTTGAGCATGGCTAAGAAGCATATGTTACCAGTTTTTTAGCTTTTGTTGGCTCATGTCCTACCATTTTCTTGGATGTCCTGCATTTTGATCATGGCTAAGAAGCATGGATTTATATTTATATGAGTGTTTCAGACTTTTATTTCTTGTCATGTCTTACCTTTTTTGCATCTCCTCCATTCTGAGCATGGCTAAGGAGCATGGATTTCTATTTCTATGAGTATTTATAGCATTTGCTGGGTTGTGTCCCACCTTTTTCTTCTATGTCCTCCATTCTGAGCAGAGCTAACAAGCATTGATTTCTGTCTATGTCTAACAAGCATAGATTTCTCCCGCTTTGTGCCTTAACCAAGCACTATTGTCTTTTCTAGGGAATTATTGAATTTACATTGAATTATTATTTCTTTCCTTTGTCCATTGTGCTGAAATGAAGGAGGGGAAAGAAAACCCTTTCAGCATTTGCATTGAGCTTCTTAGTGATGCTCAAAAGGGAGGACCTTCTTAGTGATGCTCAAAAGGGAGGACCTTTTTTGGAATTCCTCCTGGACAGAAGATTGAAATGGAGGACATGTCCAGGAAAAGGGGGACCTCTAGTCACCTTGAATTTGTGCTGGTGTGTGTAAGGAGATGAAGCATGAGGGGGAAGTCAGGAAAGAAAGATGGGGGGGGCCTGTTGCTTTTGTTGCTGGTGTGTGTGTGCGCATCTTCTCCGGGGTGACCTTCCCTAGGAAGGGACGGTCCTCGCAGCCACATTCTCTTCTTCTTTGTCTCCCTGCTGGCTTATGGCTCTGAATGGACACCTTTTAAGCCTCTGCAGGACATGGCTTGTCTGGCGTCAAAAGCTGGCCATCTGGCAGGACTTCATGGTTCTTAAACAGAGGAAGCTTACACACACAGAGAGAGACACATATACACACACCCTGTCTCCTTCAGGTTAGGAAAAGAGAACAAATGTGTGACTTGCCCAAGGTCACCAACTGGGTTTCCGTGGCTGAGCCGTGGGGATTTGAACCCTGGACTCCTGGAATCCTAGTCAAACCTCTCAAACCACTACGCCACTCTGGCTCTGCTAGGCTGGTTATGGTTGCTTAGCCAAAATGTCATTCCTCACTTCCAGCCTCTTGCAAGTAAAGAGGCATGAAAGCAAGGACATGGAGATGTTCTCCTTTTCCAGGATATGTCTTTCATGTCAAACTTCTGTCTAGGAGGAATTCCATAATGTCCTCTATTTTGAGCATGACTAAGAACATGAATTTACATTTATATGGGTGATTTTGATCATTTCCTACATTTTTCTTGAATAGACAACATTTTTTCTGTATCTTGTCTTCCTTTGTTGTGAGGACATCTGGTCATCCTGTGCTAAAAGAGGCTTCTGATTCCCGCCTGGATATGGCAATGCAGTTTCTGTGTCCCTGAACCCTGAGCTAAGCCTCGTTGTTGTTGTTGCTGTTGCTGTGTGTCTTCAAGTGGTTTCCAACTTATAGAGACCCTAAGGCAAGCCTGTCATGGGGTTTTGATGGCAAGTTTCATCAGAGAGTGTTTGCCAGGAGACTTCCTGTGAGGCTGAGAGCATGTGACTTGCCCAAGGTCACCCAATGAATGGGTTTAATGGCTGATCAGTGATTTGAACCCTGTTCTCCTGATTCATAGGGGTTATTCACACTGTGAAAATAATCCAGGATGAATCTAGGTTGAATCTCTGTTGTTCACATGCATCCCAAATGCACCCAATTAAGATCAGTGGGCTGCCAAAAAACCCCACATAGGGCCTTTGCAGACTGCCAGAAATAGTGCACATTAAATTGAGGCACTGCCCTGGCTCAGTGCTAGGGAGTCATGGGAATTGTATTTTTTTCTGAGACATTGAGCCTTCTCTGTCAGAGAGCTCTGGTGCCACAATAAAATACAGTTCCCATGATTCCCTAACCCTAACCCTAAAAGTGGACTCAGTTTGCACTATTTCTGGCAGTCTGCAACCCCCCTTCCTCTTTGAGACGCAGCTGCACTTTCTCTGGCTTTTAGCAATTTTCTTGTGCAACATTGACATTGCACCAGGTCACATTTTAAGAAAAGGAACAGGGTGCTTCATACTAGAGAATAAGCTTGGGCCACCCCAGAGGATGTGAGCCAGCATAGTGGCGTAGTGGTTCGAATGTTCGACTATGACTTTGGAGACTAGGGTTCAATTCAATTCCCAGCTCAACCATGGACATTCAGTGGGTGACCTTGAGTAAGTCACATGCTCTCAGCCTCAGGAGAAGGCAATGGCAAACCTCTGAATGAATCTTGCCAAGAAAACCCCATTATAGGGTTGCCTTAGAGTCACCATAAGTCAGAAACAGCGTAAAAGCACACAACAAAAACAGCCCCAGAGGATGCCAGCATCAACAGGCAGCTTTTTAATGGATTCCTGCCCTACCCTGTGTGGGGCTTTAGAGAGTGAGACGCATCTCTATTGTACTCACTACAGGCTGGATTAGGCCTGTGACTAAACGCTTCCCCTCCCTTGTTTTAAGCATTGTCTGATCTGACATGCTCTGTTACCATAATTACTGTCAAGCAAGGCAATAGCATACCAGTATACGCGTAAATGAAGATTTGAGATGTCCCAAATGACACAGCCCCACCAGCAGGAGATATCTCACCTTTGAAATGTCATACCATTGAATCCAAGTTATTGCTTTGCTTTATTTCCCTGCTCTTCAACTTACCTGTATAATTTGGGGAATGGGTTTATCTTAAATGGCATATTTATACCAATGAATACTTGTCATTGTGTGCCTTCAAGTCATTTCCAAACCTATGGCGATCCTATCGTGAGGTTTTCTGGGGCTGAGAGTGTGTGACTTGTGCAAGGTCACCTAGTAGCTTTCCAAGGCTGAGTTACTTCGATGAAGAAGTTATTGTTGGTGTGACATCCAAATAAAAGCTCAAAGGGGCCTCTAGGGGATCTCTGTAGAGTAATGATGGGGAGTGTGTGAGATTCAGAAAGTTATTGGAGTGTAACTCTCATCTTCCCTCACCATTGAGTAAGCTGGCATGGGCTGCAGAGCGTTGTAGTCCAACAACATTAGGATGGTCACATTTTTCACACTCCTGCAGTAAATAAAAGAGAATGAATGGGAGCAAGATAGTTCAGCACTGTACTTTTTCTTAGGGATGTGCCTTTAAGTTATGCTTTGAACTTTTTAAATTTGTGCTTTTCATTTACAGTTGGCCCTTCACATCTGCGGCTTTGACTTTTTTGGATTTGATTATTTGCGGTTTTGATTAATACGTTCTCTCTAGGAATCTCCAGGTCCTCCAGCGCAATTCTTCCAGAAGTTGACCATAGACTTCTGCTGGAGAACCTAGAAGTTCCTAGAGAAAACACTTCTCTAGGTATTTGTAGGTCCTCCAGCATGAGTCTGTGATCAACCTCTGGCAGATGTTAACCATAGAGTTGCACTGGAGGACTTGGAGATTCCTAGAGAGAACGTATTAATCAAAATCACAAATAATCAAATTCAGAAAAGTCAAAGCCGCAAATGTGAAGCATTTAGTTTAAAAGAATAGTAGTTTTTTTATTTGCTGTTTTTCCACATTCACGGGGGTCCTTCATCCCTAACCCCAGCAAATGTGGAGGGACCACTATAATTCTGTCCTGTAATAGTTGATCATCTTTTGTGTTTTTATTGTCTTGTTGTGTTTAATATCACTGTAAGATGCCTTGAGTCTTATCTTTGGGAAAAGGGCTGGTTATAGAAATCCAGTAAAGAAAAGGATATAGAGTAACTAAAGTTGTGTGGTTTTGGATGTCTGATTGTAGTGCTTAACTAGATTGTGGATTTGGGGATAATTAAAGTATGAAATATCTGTAGTTTTTGTTTGTTTGTTTTTAAGGCATTTAAGGTATTTGAGCCCTGCTTTATGCATTTCTTAATATTTTAAAGTGTTGCTTCTTGCAATCACAAAACAGTAAACCAACAAAACCTTTATTATAACACAAAACAAATAATAAAACAGCACTGACAAAATAGTAGTAAAGCAGCAGTACACCATTGACGATGATTTAGGGCATTATGTTTGCACAGAAACAGATGTGCTGAGTGAATGCCAGAGCTTCATGCTGGTAGAAGATCTGGAGATGGTCCAGAGATTACTTTAGCATGCAATCCCTCCCTCAGTTTCTTATTCCTAATCCATCCCATAGTAATTTGCATTACCTAAAAATAAAATTTTGAGTAGAAGAT